AATTTAGTTTGCAAAATATCAACTGGTTTGAATGACTTTCAAAACTTTACCTGACTATTGTTTTAGAATTAGGTACAATAAATGTGAAATTTCTGGATCAATAGGATTATGGAATGCTCTGAATATAGGAACCTTTTTTATTTCCTTTCCATATAGGTATCGCCCAACTGACCATAGTCTTTAGAAAGGTAAAGAAGGTTGCATAGAGTCATTAGAGCTTTCAATTTCTTTAATTAATAAATTTTAAAAACTTTATTTAGCTGGCTGGTTCTCGGTTTGTATCTAATGATTAAAATTAAAATCTGATGTAGTGGAGGTGGTAGAAATTGAAGAGTAAATACAATAAAGAAATACATATATATATATATATATATATATATATTCTGTTTATTTGTATTATACACCTTACAAATAACTGCTAGCTTAGTTTGGGATACATTTAGTGTCAATTATCAATAAGCTCTATAAGGCAAAATGCCATGTAACTGAATGATATTGAGATCCAGAGAGTAAATTAAAAAGCAACATTGGCAAATTCCATCGCGGAGATCTCCCTTTTCAAGTGGTAACTGCCATTGTGTGAGACATAAGATTACTGCTATAATAAGCAAAGAAGAAGAATGAAGGATTGTGATAGCCTGCTTTTGAGTCTGCTGGGATTTCCTAAGTGGTTGAGAAACGTTTTGCTGACATCTCCTAAAAGTCAGCCTTTGATACAAGAAAACAAGGAAAAGGAACACTGACTCTCACTTGTCACTGTGGAAACTTAGTGATAAATCATTGTAGCCACAGAGCCCTTAACAAAAAGCAAGGAATGTAGCTGCACTATCAAGCATTGCAGTAGAAAATACCCAATTATGTGTGGTTCTCTTTTAGTTCCTATTCACCCAGAGCTTGTGGTCTAAGACAAGCAATATTGATGAATTTGCAGAGGAAAGATGACAGTGAACAAGAACGAAACTTATTATAGTTGTGAAATGGAAGAATAGAAGGTACATGCAGGACAAGATCAGAGTTTGGTAACATGTTAAACACATAAAACTATGTAAGAGGAAGAAGATCAAGGTATCTCAGATAATTGAGTGTTCAAAGATAATATCTTGAATAGGTCAGAATATATGAAAAATCCTAAAAAACGTGAATGTCTGTAGTTCTTCCTGGGCAGCAGCTGAGTCACTGAAGAATGAAAAAATAATGCAATATATCTGTAAAAAACACCAAGAGATAAGTCTTACAGATATCAGCATTAGAGTTAATAGTGTTGCTATATTAAAATACTGTCAAGACATTTTCAATCTCTTATTATCTATTGAAGCTTATTATCTATTTTTATTGTGATTATATAGTATATCATATATATATATATATATACACGTGTGTGTTTGTGTGTAATTAAAAATATACTGATGACAAGAATATATCCATAAAGGCAGTGGTACATTTTTGTCATACTCTGTGAACATCAATAGTCAGGTATGCACTGATTCACATTTGGTAGTTACCGTTTGTATTATTAAGTAGTAAATTATAAGAGTAGTAAATTAGCCTTATAGATAAAAAGCAACAGCAAAAATATTTTTACATGACCACATTTCATCACCCAACATTAACTTGCTTATCATTGCCTGATAATGTCTTCATCACATTCATTTGATCTCATTTAAATATTTGGAAATAGTCTAGGGTGGAGAGTTATATCTCAGGTCTAGCACAATGCCTGACATATTTAAATCAGGAGCAGTATTATAGAAATCCTTTTGGACTACTTTGTTTACAGCCTGTATTTGATGAATTTACTTTCTAAATTGTAATAGAAACATTTCAGAAATAGGTATGGAATGGTCTGAATTGTAGTGCAACAATTAACTGACAGCTATGTTTGAATCTAATATACTTGGTATTTTTATATTTATATGAGATAATTTGGCTATTGTTATTTTATCATCATATGCTGAATGTTCCCTTTATAAAGTATTCATTAGGGACACTTTGCTTCAGCAATGATTTCTGCTCTTAAAAATAAGAAAATTACATTATTATTTGAATTGTTTTATAATCTGAATCTTATGGGTTTGGAAATTTTTGAGAAGTTTCATCTATATTATCTTTATCCAACAACTGATAAAATATATATGGCACATGTGCCTTCTAAATAATTGTCGTGAAAAATAAATTACTTCTATCTTTGCATTATTAAGAAGTAACATTCCAATCGCTTTAAAAATATTAAATAGTTTGATCAGCTAGATTTAAGTTCACATAAAGAGACAAGTTACATTTGCCTGATTTCATTTCTAGTACTTTCACACTGAATTTATGTCAGACAATTATTTATATGGTATGTCAGTTATATTAATTGTGTTCTAAAAATTCTCCTCAGATTGCTTACACCCACATTCATATAACTTTTGAACTTATAACCAAGTTTTGTGGTAATGAATTCAGTAAAGAAATTGGAGCCTGGGAATTCCTCTGTTCTGCCACTATCTCTAGCTTTGAAAAATCACTTTTATTTTCTAGGCTTAGTTCTTTTGGTTTTGTGCAAAATGGCTTCCAAAACTATTTTCAGTTATGAAACTGCTGTGTTTTTGCCTCTGTTAGTATCAAAGTAGTGGTCAGTCTACATGATGTAGCTGTCCTTCTTTCTTCTTATAGAATCTAGATCAGCTTTCCAAAACATGGAAAACCTATAAAAATATATTGGTAGCCAATCTGGCATGTTTATATTATATTTATGGTAAACATGGTTAATTGTTCATATATGGGGTTCCCTATCTATTCTAAGGCTGGAGACATAGGCATTGTAAGAGAATTTGTGTGGAAAACAATTTAGAAATACTGGGTAAAATATGACGTTTATATTATCTATCCAGATGGGCAGACTTCAGAGATAGTCATTTTTTTTGTTTTTTTTGTTTTTGTTTTTTTTTTTGAAATTTTGACAAGAAAACTGCTTACGCTCCTATCCTGGCAAGGTCTAACAATTGGTCTTTTACTTTATGCAGAAAAGATCTAAAGTAAGATAAAATAATAGGAATAAAATCCCTAGACCTTCCCTCAGGTTTTTTTAGGGTTTTTTTGAGATATCTAGTTGCATATAGATGAGAGTTAAAAAAGGAAGTTTCCCTAATCCTTGATGACATGTGGGTATGTATAAATTATTCATGATTATTGTTCAGAATTAGATTTGCTGGCATTTTTAAGAACATGCTAGAAGTATGCAGAATTTACAATTCCACTGGAAAAAAAAAATTGTTCTCAACAAATCACTTAGTCCCTCTGCCCCTATATTGGAACAGAATAATTAGTGATGTAGGAAAGTCTCTAAAGCACAAGGGTTTTTTGAAACTATTGGGCAACTACTTCAAACTACTGGCTATGTAACTTTTAATAACCTTGTATGAATAACATTCAACCCTCCTTGTAGAAAAGTGTACAAAAGTCTGCAAAATCATTGCTGCTTTCCACATGGTGAACACATTTTCTGTTAAATTAGAGATAAGTTAGAATATTAAAGAGTGAATCCCTAAGAATTATCCAATCTCATAAAATTAAATGTTACTACTGCTATTTTTGAACTTCTAATTACAGTGTGTTTTAAATGTGCTCTGTATTTTTTAATGAAGATCTGTTTAGTTATTTGCAATTGTTAAATAAATTGAGCATATTTCACTCTTATTTTCCCTAAGAATGGGACTATCTATATGAATATGTAGAAGGAAGGTGACCCAGCTTCAGTATGGAGGGAACATAAGAGAAATGGGGTTCATTTTATTATTATTCAATGAAATAGACTTTGCTTGCCATGTGCCATGGGCAAGTAACTTCACTTCTCAGGGCTTTGTTAGTGTCTATATTAGGTGACACTTATGTGAGCTCTTACACTTGCTATGTGAGCTCTTACACTTGCTATGTGAGCTCTTACACTTGCTGTGTTATTTGAAATAAGCTCCTTATCCTCAGTTTACTCATCTGAAAGTGGATACAATAACAACATCTGATGTGTTGATTCAAGCTCCTAACATTAACTACCTGCCGCCTCACAACAAATAAATGTTTAGTAGCTAGTAGTTATTATGGTTATAATTTGTAATATTAGTAATAGTGTTAATGGAGCCTTTTTAAAGATTAAAACATATATATAAACAGCATAAAGGCAGAGAAAATCTTACTGTCATCACAAAACAACAGGGGCACCTAAGGGGAGTCCTCCAGTTAGTGAGTTTTTCCCATTCTGCAGGATGGCATCTTATCTTAGTCATTGCCTGAAGTTCACATTACAAAATATAGTCAGTCCCAGAGCAGAAGGGAATTCTCTGAAACATAATACATGTTTTACAGTTCCTCCAGTTTTCTCAAAAGTATTTTTATGTGTAAATGTAGGCCTCATCACTATCAGCCATTGAAGATGTTTCCCTGTAGCTGTGAACCAAGTGATTATGTAGAGCACTATCCAAATGCAGGCTAAATTAATTATGTTCTGTATGCAGGAAATTAGACTTCATGTGCACAGTTCTTCATCTTTTATTTCAGTTTTCTCTTCTTCCTTTACCCAAATGAGGATATTATAATTTGTCAGACACCTACTAATTAACTTAATGAGTAGAGTAAATAAGAAGGGACTGACATCATGCCAGAAATCAGTTCTTTTTAAAGAACAAAAGCTAAACAAGAGATGATCTCTAGCAGTCATATTGATGACTTGCAGGAACAGATATCTAAATTTCTACTTCATTGTCCAGATTAAACATAGTCTACTCAGGAATAAGTCAAGGAGCTTGTCATAGTCTGGCATTATATCCTATATGGACTACAGTGAGCCATAATTAATTCATAACTGGTAAATTACTAAAGTGACAATTAAGTGATACAGGGCATGAACAAGCTGTTGTGTAAACAAGCAGGTCATCCATCACATTCATAACATCCGCACGTACCTTATTTGTTCCATGAACTTGAAGATTTAGAAAGCCACTAGACTATAAAATTAAAGAACCCAAGGCTAGACTCACTCCTCCATTAATAAACAGCCTCCTGGGTACAGAGACACAAAATGTTTTAGTTAAAGTAAATACATTAAAATGACTTAGAATTCAAACAACTGAAAAAAGATTATTGTTATACTATAATATATAGATTTTATGCTTTTACTTTACTACTATGTTTTTATTAAATAGTAGGCTGTTTATCTTTTCTCAATTTTTTTATAATGCCACTCTCTACTCAATGAATTTGAAAAATCATTATATACCATAGATGTTTCATTAAACATTTTTCTTAAACAATGTAGTAGTTCTGTAGTGGACCTCTTTTTCCTTAATGCTACCTCATGGTGTTCGTCATACAGACTTTAGAATGCAGCTGCATGTAATAGAATAACCCTGTGCCATTTTTCTGTCCCCAGAGCCACAGACCTGTACGTTGAAAGATTTTCTCTGTGCCAATGGGGATTGTGTTTCTTCAAGGTTTTGGTGCGATGGAGATTTTGACTGTGCAGATGGTTCTGATGAGGTAGGCACCTTTGCAAAATCAAACAGAATAAAGCAATTCTTTAGAGTCACTTTTATAATTAATATTGGTTAATCCAATGAGTCTGTCCAGGGAAGCTTTGAAATGCCCTTTGCTCCTGAAGTGCTGAGAAAAATAGTATATATGTACACTGCACTGCACACACCAGGCAGAGGGAATAGTTCTTCTGCTACTACTGACAGTTAATTTTATAGTCTGTTTTAGCTCAAGTGGTGAATGGCTGGGTTGGGAATAAGATGTTTGGAAACCCTATTCCCTACAGCTGATGCCTTTGGCATTTGTGAATTTGTTCATAAATTTTCTGCAGTATTTATAGTCAGGACTAATATTTTTATGCATTTTAAACAGTCTCTTCTCCCCAGTTGCTTTCTTCAATAGATATCATCATGTAGACTTCGATGTGGGTCATCAATTTTTATGAAACTACAGGTTTAGTTTTATTTAGATGATGAATCACAGTCCATTTATAAGGCCTATATTCACACAGCTTAAATGAAAGTCTAGAATTTCTGTGAATAGTCCTGTAAACTTATATTGTGCTAACATTCATAATCCCCTCCTTAATTCATTATTTATTCATCTATGTATTTTGTGTTTCAGCTATTAATTGCCCCACGATGGTTTCAAAATAATACATCACATGGTTTTATGTATTTTTTCATCAATCTAAATGACCCCTAGGTCTCTCTTTCCAGTATCAATTGTTTTTCATGATTTTCTCTATTAATGATCTTCCATATTAATCTAAAAAACAAGATGCTTAACAGTAAAGTCACGTCAGAGGTGAAAGAAAAACAGGTTGCTGGTTTGTTGCTACCATGACTGCTTATGAGATACAGCTCTGCTGCTGTGGTTGACACATATATGTGCTCACCCACATGAAAGTCCAATCACTGGCTATAGAATTGGCTAGAGAGAATTTTCCCTGCTGCTCTCAAGATTTCTGTGTTTCAGGTCCAATTTCCTTAGGTATTCGCTGATTTCCAGCCTCTTTGAGAGACAGGCAGGTGCTTACTATTTACAGAACCCACACAAAGTAGTTCTTTCCCAGTTTTCAAGTATTTTTATCAGGATTGGACAACTCTTTTCTAGTATCTCACTATCTTAGAAAAGTCCTCTTAATCACATTCAGGACCCTAGATTTTGGAAATAAATGCATTTAGCTTCTAACCTGACAGCTAACAAATCTAAACCTTGAGGTTACAAAGTTCTCCCACAAGTTGAAAAATACCAGTTTTATGCCTGAGGTTATTTGCAAAATTAATCAAAACATTTTTTTTAAATCTACAGAAGAATTAAATTCTTACATGGCTCAGCTACTACTTAGTATCCACCTAAAAAAAATTGTCAGATGTTCCCAGTGAGGAAAACACATTGCATATAAACTCTGAAAATATCTTGTTTTTGCCTTCTTTTAAAAATATGTTCTACCTGTCTTGTTAATATATGAAACATTAAGAGGTGGGGATATATAACTTAACATTTATTATTTCACCTTTCATGTTATTCACTAGAGGTCCAAAGTACATATTCAGAATCAAAGACTTCAAAAATTTCATTGAGGTAAAAGTAAACAATCTGTATTAACATCATTTTCTCTCATGACACAAATTCATGGATATAGTTAATTGATGGTTAAATATATCTCTGTTATATAAGGATTTTCACGATAATGCCCCAAGGCAATCAAATTAACTGTCTTAAAAGTGATCTTTCTCTGTGTTGATATTTAGTGCAGTCTATATGTAATAAAGTGGCTGACATTATGAGCAATGATTTCTATTTTCTTTCTGCAGTTTAAAATGACAGTTGCATTGACAAAAAAAAAAAATGCCAGCAAAAAAAGGAGAACTGAACAAATGTTTAGGAAGCAGAATTACATACAGGATTCTCTCTTATTAGGAACAAAGGAAATGACTGTAGGCATAAGTTTTTGTATGAATGTGAGCTGATAGTAAAATTAGTTTGTTAATATCCAGCCAAAACAATAAAGAAACCAAGAACTTGGATTAATATAATTTTATTTCAAGTTAGTGGCATACACAGAGAAGTATTTAAAGTAACTTAATAAAATATTTTTCTTATGAATCCAGTATAATGTATTGTAAGAACAAAAAAAAAAAAAGCAAAGGACTCAAACTCTAGATTTGTTAGTAATACTATTGTTTTTGTTAATTGGGAACTCAAAGAGATTGATAGTAGGATATTTTAAATGCTTAAATTATATTAATAATTCAGTACTAAAAATTTACAACTAAAATAAAGGAGATATAAAAATAGAAACAAAGTAAAAATGGTATAATATTAATTCAAGTGTCCATATAAGATATTGATTTATGCTTCTTTTTCCAAAAATATTTCATTCTTAGATCTGCCACTAAAAAAAAAAATTCTAAAACTGACATCCCAGCAGTAAAAACCTTCCTGAGCATCCATGTAGTGTCCTCTAAATGCCATTTCCCAGTTAAAATAAACAAAACTCCTTTGAGAAATGTCTAATGACAGGTTTGAGAGGGAAAATTGACAAAATGAGTCACTGACATCTTGTCATGTCAGAAAACAAGACTATTAGGATAGTGTCCAGAAAGTACAGGAAAAAATTTTAAAAGATTTCCACTGATTAAGAAGTTAATTTAAGTATTAGAAAGTAATCTTAGAAAATTGAAACACAATAAATATCTAACAATATATGAGATCATAGCAATACTCTAAAAAAGTAAAAACTCAATTGTCACTTGGGAGGTTGCTAAGGTATCAACATTGTAGGGTTCAATCAACCAAATTAATAATGTCTCACTTTCTATAAAGCAAATAACCTGGTTTCTTCAAGTAAAAGCTGGCATTTAGAAAACTATAAGAATGGGAAATATACATTAAAAGAACAGCAAACGTAAATTCAATGTGTAGATCTCATATATATCCTTGTTTTATCAAGTGGTATTTTTATATAGTCAAGAAAATGAGAAAATTTTGAATCTAGTCCAAGAATAAACATATACTAAGGAATTTTTGTTAGTTTCACAATGTTGTTAATTTTATTATGCTATTGTTATATTTTTTTAAAAATCCAGAACATCCATAAGAGGTAGGAGGATATGAAACATAAATAATGGATTGTTAATAATTGTGAAGCATGCATAATGGGCACATGAGTTAATTATTATATTCTCTCTTTGTTAGACTTTAAAGCTCTGAAATAATAATTAAATATGACGCAAAAATAGATTCACCTATATGCATGCATAATCCCCCCAACACATAGAGATATCAACTGCTCTATCATTTATCATAGATCAAAATCTGTTGTTGATACAAAAAGTATGCAGAAGTACTAACTAAGGTGTTTTGTCAATACAGATGCTCCAATACCTTTGATTGTTGAGCTATTTTACTTAAATTAGCTTATTGTACATTAACCATTTATTTTTTCTTAAATAAATGCTGAGCAGTTAGTATAATCCTGGCAGTTTTCTTTTTAAAGATTTGTTTTATTTATTTATGCATACAAGAGCTGGGGTGTAGGCCAGAGGTGAAGAGGGTGAAAGGATTCACCAGAGACAGAATAGGGAGTAGAGCAGGCAGATCTACTGAAATACATTGCAGCAGGCGAGACAGGAGAGGTCTGCTGCACTATATGTGAGTCAGCTCCAAGGCCCGGCATGGAACTCATGCCACAGTGGCTGGTAATAGCTTCCTAGTGCTAAGACTTAACCCCTTGTGCCACCAGGGAGGCCCTATCCTGGCATTTTTCCTTGGGAAAAATCCTAGTTTCTTGGAAACTAGGTTCATAGGCAAGCATGACTACTATATATGTAGACAGATATGAATACTATACCAGGGGTGCTTAATTACACACTATTTTATTTTCTAGTCCTTGTTTTCTGCATTTTCTACTTCATTCATTCATCCAGCAGATTTTATTGAATGCTTGCTGAGCATGGGAAGTATGGTGATGAGCAATATGTATGAAAACACTTTCTTGACAGTGTGTGGGTTATTTCTCCAATGTCTTTTATACCATACACCATTACCTAGCTTAGCCTTCAGAAACTTCACATTTTAATTATCCTTTCTATGAAATACATTTCCTTAGATGGTTCCATTTCTGGTAAAATTTCCTTCCTGAAGCCTTTCCTAAAAACCATATGTCTAAAACCATATCCATTTATTTTGGCGATATATGCATTTTATTACCATTGTTTCTTTAGGTGATGTTCTTTCCTACTAGCTTATCAAATGCAAGGATATTTGTTTCCTCTGTATTCTTATTCAGAAGTTCTCTGACAATTGATACACTTTTCCTATTTGGAAAAATAAGAGAATAAAGAAGGAAAGAAAATCAATTTTATAGCAGATATTTTAATTTAACTATCATCAATCTAGAGAAATTACACAAATTTAGAAAATTAACTATCTTTAATGGGGATGAATTTGGAAAGAAATGGAGTGCTAGCTTAACATCCATCACTCATTTGGAGTTTCACAAACTGTGAGAATGTTGTACCTTATGTAGAAGGAACAGACAAGTACATTTTGACAAGAGTAGAACTTGCTTAACTATAGGAAATCATCATGCCAAAAAGACATTTCATTGCAGAATCCCATTTCAACCATAGAGGTCATACCCAAGAAAGAAATGTCTACAGAATTACTTTGATTGATCTCATATAAATAATTCAAAAATCTTCAGAGATAAATTTGTTATTTTATGTAACTCCAAATAAAATCTATATGTGAGGTAACAGAAACAACAACTGTGACATTTCATGGCATAGTTCTTTAGGAACAAATGGCAGAAGATGGATAATATTTATGAACAGCAACTAAACTGTAAATGGATGTGTACAGAGTAAAAGTGATGGGAAGAAGAGGAAAGAACACTAGGGGAAGTTGTGCTGATGCCAAACATACTATACTTAGCCTTAGGATTCTTGTTGATTTCACATTCTATCCTCCTACCCCAATCCCTGTGGATGAGAGCCACTTGCTTGGAAATATTTTTTGACTCTTTTACTTTATTTCACCACAGTCTTCAATGCCACAGCAATTATTTAAGTTACATTACATCATAACAGTATTGAGTAGTGGTCCACTTGGATAATTTAATCAGTATTTTTTTTTCATTTCTGTGTTTTATTATGGAGACAAATAGAAATGAAAAATTAATATAATTTTGTTATATAGGCATGAGTTTAAATACGATCACCTGAGTTTCATGTATGTGACAGACAGGTTCTATACTTCTGATTTCTTTGCTTAAGCTTTCTTCTTGTTTTTTGGGTATGTAGACATTTGTCCAAAATTTTAATTTAATACATCTGCATATTTTTGGACAGAGGTATTGTGAAACAAGTTGTTCCAAAGATCAGTTCCAGTGTTCCAATGGTCAGTGTATATCAGCAAAATGGAAATGTGACGGCCATGAAGACTGTAAATATGGAGAAGATGAGAAAAACTGTGAGCCAGGTAAAATCATTGAGGGGCTATCTCATTTATCTGATATTTAACTCGATAGAATTTTAATGTAAGCAACACTCTGCATAAAGTGGTAGCAAATACACTGAGTCACTGTTTTTTGAAAATTATTGCTATGTCTATAGATAAATTAGTTACCTTTATATGTTTTGCAAGTGTTTCAGCAGTTAAGATTGTTACAATATGTGGTATCAAAACATTATTCCCCCAAATTTGATATTCTGGTTTGTATATCTTTTTATGCCATTTGGAATTGTTTTTCCAAGACAGCAAAATAAAATATATTGAAGTGTAAGTATGAGAAAAATTAGGTTTTCTGTTGCAGAAGTTAAAGTTATGAAACAGAATATGGTGGTTTCAATGTGATATCAACTGAGGAAAAGCATTCATCTATTATTTCTCTTTATATCTCAGTCCAAAATCAAAGTAAACTTAGGAAGCAAAACCAGAGTATAGGAAACAAACACCCAATTAATTCATTTCAGTTATTTAAATACACTTCTATAAATATGCTATTGAAGCTTAATTTATTTCCATACTTTGATATTTTAATAACATTATCTTATAGAAAAAAATTACTGGGGAAAAATCATACTATATGTATAACCATGAAAGCATTACTTTAAGAGACTAGACTAGGTCAAAGTAGAAGTTACAAAGCACACACATATCACCATACCCCAGCACCATGCCATCATCCACATTGCTAATTGATCACATCTTTCTTTCTTACTGAATCCAGATATGTTCTCAGACTCCTTATTAATACAGATCCCTAGGCAAACACAGCCAATTAAAAGGAATTAAAACTCAAGGAAAAAGCTTTTTAGCATCCCTGGACTAAGCAATTTAGACCACAAAGTCATTATGTAAGTACATTCTGCTACCTAGTGGTCTCATAAAAGGCCAAGAACCCCCGAGATTTGAATGCAAGCCTAGCAATTCAAACCCACAAAGACAGCTGTCTCAACTCTGTGTCAATTAATTAGATTAGGTAATGGTAGTAATTTGTGTATTCACTTGTTAATTTTCCCTATATAAAAAAGGAATATTTCAAATTCTATACACTAGAATTCTATACATATAGTCAGGTTTAAACCCCAAAATAAACAACAACAAAAAAAACTTCTTAAAACTGATGCAAATATGACATTTTTTTCAACACATCTAAAAAAGATACCATGGATTCTGTAAGAACATACCAAGACTTTCACTTCAGCTTTTTATAATGCATATATGTATTAACATTCACAAGAACCACTAAATCCTATTACAGTTCTGAAAATAATTTCAGGCTTTTGTCTTTGAAAATAACTTAAAATAATGAAAAATTCATCTGAGTGTTCAAAATCAAAGGAATGCAGGATATAGTGTTTTTATTCTTTATTTTATTAGTTAAATTCTTAAATAACAAGTTATTACATCATCAAAGTATATTTAACATAATGCAGCAGTATTATAAATCATATTTAAATGAATATTTAATATCATGATGACTATAGGTTGAATAATAAAAATATTCTCATTACAGCCTATGAAAGTTTTATATGCTTCTATGTGTTTTTATCTATCAAATCAGTTGCTCTTTTTACTAAATTTAAGTGTGAATTTTGTAATTATATTTAGCTTCTCCTACTTGCTCGTCAAGTGAATATATATGTGCCACTGGAGGATGTATTTCAGCATCTTTGAAATGTAATGGAGAATACGATTGTGCTGATGGTTCAGATGAGGTAAAATCTATTATTTGATTAAAATCTCCAAATTACATGAATTAGGTTTGGGAAAGCAAATGTAATGCACATAGAGTAAAAAGACAGCCTCTTGATTCTTAGCACTATCTAAAATGTTGGACACTGGATACAAACATTTCAACAAATGCCCAAGTCTTTATGCTATCCATCTCCTAAACCCCTTGTCATTTGTAGAGGTTATATTCTTTAAGTCTCTAAGTCAAAATAAAATAAAGTCCACAGTGTAATAAATCCCCAGATTGTCGGACACATTTCCTTTCTGTGACTGTACTGTTACCATTAGTGAAACTGCAGTGCCCATTTGTATTTGGACAGATGGACTGTGTGACTGAATGCAAGGAAGATCAATTTCGATGCAGAAATAAAGCCTACTGTATTCCAGTTAGATGGCTGTGTGATGGAATTCAGGACTGTGTGGATGGCAGCGATGAAGAGAACTGCGACAAAGGTAAAATGCCTGTGTGATTGTGCATGTGTATGTGTGAGTGCACGTGCATAGAAGTACACACCTATAAATAAGGGAATGGCCAGAGGCCATATAGAAAATAGTGTGCAAAAGTCAGGATGGGGTCATTAAATGATTCCTTTTACTCTCTTTTGTTTCATTATATAAAAGCCCTTTTTCAGATAAACAAAATCTGAGTTATTTTTATACAAAATATAAATGTAGCCCTCAGATTACAATGTCAGCAAAATGCAAGTGTCTGTTGAGTACCTACCTTGAGCATGTCTTTGGACTAGATACTTTAGGCTGGAAGTATTTGTATCAGGGATAGGGATATTGAGAAGAATACAGGGAACAGGTCACTAAATCCATTGCTCTGAAGGCATTTTCAATGTACATTTCAATTCCATATAGGCCTTATACTGAAAGAATAGATACAACATATGGTACACAACAACACATGAGTATATGGGCTGTTTGCCTTATTTCCTTTTTGCAATGTGGCTTGAGAAAATGTTACCGATTTTGTCCATCAGGAAGACAACCTCCATTTTTTAAGTATATTATTTTCTAGCTCTGTGAAAATCACTTCCTGAGTGATGACTTTTTAGTTAAAAGTCACCACATTAAAGGCAGCAATTACTACTACTTTTGAGTTAATGTGGTGAAAGCAAGCCATTTTGTGGAGAAGCTTAAAATAATCACCTATTTTGTAATTCTTGTTATTTTCATAATGTTAAATATGTTTTTCAAATACAAAATGTCTTTTAACCTGCTCGTAAGTCTCTTGATGTACTTTACATTCCAGACTATTTGGAACATCAGCAGCAGAGATGATATTAGATATTGACATATGCTATAAGGCATTTGAATGTACACTCAGGGTAATTAGAGTTTAAAATGCACAAACTATTTGAGTACCTAGTTGTACAAAGAAAAATAATTTCTACTTAATATTTTTGTTTTATTTTGAATTTTTTCCAAATTATGTTAATTGAGGTAAAGTAGGTTTACATATTTATTTCTGCTCTGGGGATTATGCTAGTAGGTTGAAACCTCTACAAATGTATGATTTCATAGCCTGCCTATCACCAGTGCCCCAACCATCCTCCACCATGTTTCACTGGGCCCCTTCCTTCCCTGACTCCAACCCTTCCTCCTTCCCCTTCCTGTTGCCTCAGATTTTCAGTCAGATGCTAAGAATTTAAATTTTTATGATTTGCTAGTATCTCCATCCCAAACCTGATAAAGTGTTAAATTCAGAAGAAATTTTAGTACTTATGGGCCACCCCGGTGGCACAGCGGATTGAGCACAGTGCTGTGAAGCTGTCCACAGCCTCTGCAGTGTGGGTTTGATTCCTGGCCTGCCAGGGAGCTACCCACATGGCACAGCAGACCTCTCTTGTCTCACCTGCCTTTTCTGTTCCCTTCTCTGTCTTGGGTGAATCCTCTCATCCTTCTGTGCCTCTGGCCTGAACCCCAGTTCATGTATAAATAAATAAATCTTTTTTTTTTAAAGAAATTTTAGTACTTATTTGGAATCTGTTT